AAATAGTTGACCACTGATTTCCATTGTATGAATAAGAAGAAAAATACAGTGCGACATTTCTCAAGTTATTTTCTGTTATGTTCCACAGAAGAAAGAAAGTCATACAGGTTTGGAACGACATGAGTAAATGAAGACAGATTTTTAATTTTTTGGTGAATTGTCCCTTTAATTAGTTAGATCCAGCTCAGAATTCACCTCATGAAAAAATGCGTCATACTCAAGAAAGCAAATGTGGAAAATGTGTTGCTATAAGTGGAACTGCTGCAGAAACAGAACCGTTCCTAATGATTTTCAAAGGTATTTGGCACAGTTGAGTTATGAGTTGTCTCCTATGCAAATGTGGCATCTGATATTCATGTTCAACATTTTTACTGGAGCAAAGAGAGTGAGAATGTGTTTATATCATCATAATTTTAGTTTTTAATGTTAAAGTCTCTGCTGCACCAACACTTTTTATGACTATTTTCCACCATGTCTCTCTGAGCCTTACAACTAATTTTGCTGCTGTCCCTTTAAGACTATGTAAACAACCCCTTTGCATATGAAACAAGTTATATGAGTTCCTCATTTTTGCACATTTTAGCTAGAAAAAAATACAGATTTTTTAATGTTGCTAAATATGTTTATATACGTTGAATAATAATTTAAAAAACGGTTAATTTTATGGTGAATCTCATGATTTCATTTGGTAAGTTCCATATACGCACAAGAAAAAACATATAATTCTAAACCATATTTTAACTTTTTTATAGTTGTTTTTTTTTATATTTATTGACTCTCTATAAAATCTGTATTACAATTCTATTTACTTGAGAATTAATTGAAAAGTAAAACGTTAAAAACCCCTCTATTAGTATGTTGTTGTCTATTTGGATGTCTCGTATCTGTAAAGTTTTTATGTTGTGTATTTAGCATTCAATAAAAAGAAAGTATTTTGTGAGGATTATTTAATATAACGCTGTTGGGTCATTTATGTTTAATAAATGCTGTCCCATCTTTCAGTTACAGCCTCTTCGCACAACCTGCATTGCAACCATGTTTAAATGTGTCATAGAAGTCAAGACAACAGCTCTGAGATCAGTCTGCATACAGCAAGTGTGTGTGTGTGTGTGCGTGTGCGTGTGAGAAAGTAGAAGAGGGTTTGCACCGCACTCATCTGCCTCCCACATTCCACTCTGCCAGGCTGAGTAAGAGGAGTGAGATGGGATGACCTCTGACCTCCAAGTTAACTACCCACAGCCATTTGTTAACGTTTAGATGTAGAGGCATCCCTACTCGACCTGTAAATAATGACCAGAGCATTTCTTCATAAATCACAGCACTCTGAGCCTAAAACAACTGTGCATTCCTTCCCATAATCCACCTCATGGATTGATTTAAGGTCCGGTCACATTTAGTGTTCGAATTTGGTGAATTTTCACATGCAAAATCCAGTCATTTCAATAGGAATCCACACAAACGGGAATGTTGTGTGAGGATGAAATATTTCCTCACGCAGAATTTGCATCGGATTCACGTTGATCAAGTAAATTTGCCGCACTGGCCAACAGAAATTTGCTTGGTTTGAAAATGACTTTTCTGTGAGTTGTGCTTCATACATTGTTACACTATTGACATCGGGCCTTTTTTGTGCACAGAAAAGTTTGCTGAAATTTTGATAAAGTGACTGCACCTTTAGTCTTCATATATTGTCTTCTAACCCTTTTTGTTATGCTTCAGGAAGCGACTTTTCTGCTGGGATCAAGAGGGCAACTCTAGCAACTCTTTTTGACCAAACCGAACTTGACGTCGGTCTAATACAGGTGAATCCGACACCTCAGGATGGCTAGTTTATTTAAACAGAGCCCTGCTGCTCTGGAGCGAGAGGTTCGTACCTAGAGGCTTTATTTATTAAATTAATTCCCCTGTTTACTCTCTCTCAAATAACGGCATATCTTCTCTTTCCGGCAGGGGCTGCAGCAGGTGCCACAGGAGACCTCATCATCACAGGCCCTGATTCATGCTCGTGCCACATAGCTGCCATCCCAGAAGACCGAGCAGCAGCAGATGCCAGCAGAGAAACATTGACAGCAACTGTATCTCTGGCCTTGGTGCTAACAGCCTCCATCAGCACCAAGAACGCTATGCCAGGTGAAAAACTCGATGGCTCACGGTCCAGAGGGGCAAAGACTGAGCGAAATCACAGCAGAGCGCTGGGCAGTTTCAACACAGTCAGAAAATAACACTCCTGGGATTTCACACAGGGCTATTATAAAAACTAAAACTAAAACCTTAAAATACATTTTTGTTGCTTGATGTAAATGTGAACTGAATTAAAATAAAATGTAAAAAAAAAGAAAGAAAAAAGCCATTTGATGTACTTAAAATACTACATTTATTTTAGTATATTTAGTACATTTTATTTTAGTACACTAGTTATTTTAGTACATTTGATTGAACACAATTACTAAAACTTTAACTGAAATTTAAATAAAAATGGAAAATATAAAAATAAAAACGAATTCAGTACATAGAAGCTTCTGTGAAATTAATAAAATAAATGGTAACTGAAATAAAATAAATTATTTAAAAACACGTAAACTTATTTTATTTTACCTAGTTGCCAAGGTTTACTTAGTTTAACTTAATGTACTAAAATAACTAAAACTGAAATAAAAAGTATTAAAAACTATATAGGTAAAAATTCATAAACGTATATAAAAAATTATAAAAATGATAAAAACATTACTAAAAATTGTACTTAAATTAAAACAAAATGAAAAATATAAAAAGAAGCTTGTGTGAAATTAATAAATGAACAGTAACTGAAATAAAATAAAATATAAAAAACTTAAATTTATCTTATTTTAGCTAGTTGCCAAAGGCAATATTTCTCATTTTCATTTAGTTTAACTTGACATATTAAAATAACTAAAACCAATAATCTATATAGACAAAAAATAAGAAAAAATATAAAAATGAATAAAAATGACAAAACACAACACAATCACTAATTATTTTTAATAAAATGGAAATATAGATATTAAATATGAAAATGGGAAATATAAAAATAAAAACTTAATAAAATTATTAATAAAACTTGTAGGCCTATCAATGATACTAAAATAACTGCTCCAAATATAGCACATCAGTGAAAGAGAGAGAGAGAAAGAGAGAGTTTTTGCTCTATTAATGCGATTCTTGCATATGCATTCAACAAAAACTTCTGTATTAAATATTACATATATTCTTTGCATATTATTGGTGCATTTGGTAAAGAACAGACTATGTGACCACAAATGCAAAAATCATGGTCCCAAACAGCTGCAAAGCACACTTGATTATATACAACATTTGTTGCAATTCCTGACAGGTACACAAATATTGACCATTTAACAACATTTATGGATTAGAAAGTGGGCCGTTTCCTGTCTCACTATTGAAAGTGCAAACCCTCTCTGGCATTCAGCAGGGGCCAGTTTGGCTGAACATAAATGCCTGGGTTTCGAGGTTCGTCAAAGCTGCTCTGTGTCCAGGCTATGGGTGGACCAATGTGCCCGTGCATCTCTCTCTCTCTCTCTCTCTCTCTCTCTCTCTCTAGCGATCACGAGCTACACTCACTCTCTCACTCGGTTAATGAGGAGCGGCTTCCCGCAATCAGCAGTCCTAACCCTGTGTACACAGGCAGACGTCCATGTAGAGGCCAGCGGCCGCAGAGAGGGGAGAAAATCTCCTGCTCCCAGCACTTAGCGGCCAAAACCAAGCGCCTGTCACATATAAAGGAAAGCATAAGGTGGGTGTGCACCTGTAGCTCCCACTGTGTGTGTGTGTGTATGTGTGTGTGTGTGTGTGTGTGTGTGTGTGTGTGTGTGTGTGTGTGTGTGTGTGTGTGTGTGTGTGTGTGTGTGTTTTGTGGGCACACATATTTGTAT